CAAAAAACATTTTCACCCAAAAGGAAAAGAAACTGCTAGCAGAAGTACTTCAAAGCTTTCTTAGGTGTGTACATTTTTAAGAGTCTTGTGGGTAACATAAGAATCTGCTAAAACCACAGACATTTACTAAATTACTAAAATAAAATGCTTGCAGATGATTTATTGCCTATAGCCATATACCAAACACAAGGAAGCCTGTTTACCTGCACTTCTCAGGGTGTTCCTCTCGCTTATTGTTAAATTCTAGGGATATCTTTGCATCTAAACCAATACCGAAGTAATTGTTCATGACACATTTTTCTGAATAGCCTTCTCTGTATAATAAAATGAAAAAATGGGAAGTCAATAGCTAGATAGAAGGAAACATGTAAAGATAACGCACAATAAATAACGAATGACAAATAACATACTCATAGTAATGGCACATTCTGTGTTCTAAAAACGACAAACTCAACTTCTTAAAAAAATCAAAAACCATAAAACAGGGGCACAGGCAGAGGGATATTTCTTAGAGACTGGGTAAAGGTTCAAAAAAACCTTTCCCAAGTTACAAAGGAAATTTGCCATAACGGACTTCCTATTGGGAAGGCAAGATGCCTCACTGTTATGTTCTGCTGTCTTCTACTTTGTAAGTCACTGACCTGAAACAAGTAGACATATCAGGAAAATCAGATAGTTTGCATTTCTGTTGTCAGTTTGTGAAGAACTGAAACAAGAGAGTCAGCACGACAGCCAGACAACTAGCATTTGCAGTATTAAGAGGCAGAAATATCAGCCTTCGTGTTTCCATCAAGAATGGTTTCCTGTAAATCTGAAATTCAGGGGCAAATACCTAAATGTACAGAAGAAATTTATATAAAAAGGGAGCTGTTTTACCTGCCAAAGGATTTGTAAATCTGCCCATCCAGTCCTGAGATTTTCAAAGCTCTGCAGTAGGACAGGAGATATGGTTCTTTTTTTTTTCCTGCAGCTAAGTAATACTTACAGGTGTCTCCACCTCCCCCAGCCTGTGACTGGACAATGAATGGAGAATCAGCAGACTTGTGACCTCATCTCTGTCAGAAGCATGCTGGTATTGGGGGGTGGGCTATGAGTGAAGTCCCTAAAAGTAAAGGCCTCATAAAATAAAAGCAATGAGATGTTCATTAAGGTGAAGTACCAGAGAGTCCACAAAGAGTAAGGGCCATTTCTCAAGAAATTCCAAGCCCTGGAAGAGGAACTGCTCCAGAACAGAGGATGTGGGAAAGGTACATGGGGGAATTTATAAAAACTGGAGTAGACAAAATCTGGAGCAGTTGCCCATGGCAGCCAATCAGCTTCTCTCTTCAGTTTGTTCAGTTAAGCTTTGAAAATGAAAAGAGAGAAGCTGATTGGTTGCCGTGCACAGCTGCTCCAGAATTTGTCTGCTCCAGATTTGATAAATTCCCTCTTATGTGTTTGCAGTAGCTGAAAAAGTGACGTGATACAAGTTGTTTGTATAGATGCGTAGCAAAGTGTACTGCATCAACTGAATTGTGAATCAATTGTGTGTAGATCAGAGTCATCAAAACGTTAAGGAAGTACAGTCTCCGTAGAAATGGATTGTAAGGGCTCTGATCAAGAGTCAAAGATGATGATGGGGCCAACTGGTGCTTTGGGAGATGAGTGCCATCTAGTTTCTACCGTAGATGGCACCAATTGCATGCAGAATTTTCCATTAGACTGTCTGGTAGACACTAGACATCTAAGATCCACAATACAGGCATCAGATCCTTCGAATGATATTGGTGAATTGCTCCCCAAAATAGAAATGGAACATGAAATGAGGTTGCCCGCTTAAGCTGGAACTGTCCTCTGAACATCTCTTGAAAGACATGTACCAGTTAGTGGTAAACAGTGGTGACCCGGACAATAAAGGCAGGCAGTGGGAAAAGACCAGAGAACAGGTGATACACAAAGCACTTCAACAGAGGTAGTTGTGGGAAATGAGCAGTAGAGTGGGAAAGGAACAAGGAGTGTGCACATGTGCAGCAATGTCCCTAATGAGACTGCTCAGACTGAACAGTTATAAAAAGGCGCCCAATGTGATGCAGTTCCACTGTTACAAGTCTAAGGCCCCATTCACACACGAATCGGCCTGCACGTACAGCTCCGTGCGTGGCCGTACCAAGTAGCTGCCGGGAAGGACAGGTGCTGCGTGTGATTAGTACGCAGCCCCCGTCCTTCTCTATGGGGCTACGCGGCCGTACGCCCCCCTACGCTAACCTTATTTGCAGGTCCGTAGGGGTGCGGGTCGTCTGGTCGGGACGCATACATGTTCCATTCCGGCGGCGTATGTATACGATCACCCGCACCCCAAGCAAAGGAAAGCCTCAAATAAAAACTCAACTCTGCCCTAAAGGTTCTCGTGAAAAATTAGGAGTGGGCTAACAGCAATGCTTTTAGACATTTAGCTTGCATCTATTTAGATTACATTCACAGGGTCATCTAAAAGCAGAAAATCATGTTGCATTAAATATATTCTAGATTTTTAATGTACTTTTAAATTATCTCTAACAGAAGTACAAAAAAAATATATATCTTACAAGGAATCCGAATCCGGGTCAATAAAAGGAGAAGCACCAATTGCATCCATATTTGCCAACAACATTTTGTTGATGATGGAACTGCCAGCAATGGAAGCCGCCAAGCCAGCTCTCAGACCTATGGGATCAAGTACAAGTAGAGATGATCAAAATCCGAAATGTTTAGTTTATAGTATACCATTGTTATAGGCATTGCCCAATAAAGTCCCACATTAGTCAGATTGCACATGTATTCCCGTTTCTGCACAATTGTGAAGTACGCCAGCTATATAGTCACTATATTAACAAAGCTAAGAAAAAGGCCCGTACGATGGCAATAACCAAATATCACTAAAGAACAAAACCCCATTAAGTTTCTCTTGTCTATGGAATTTGTTTTACATTTCTAATAAGAACTGGCCAAACCAAATCCTGCATTACCTGGGCAGATTATTCGTGTGTTTAAAACCGGAAGATTCTCTTTGCTAGATGCCAAGGGTGGGCTGGAGAATGAACCTGTGTGGGAGTGCATGCTTCGATTAGTACGTCTGTCTGGAGAACGTGGAGCAGCTTTGCCTGAAAGTAATGGACAGACCTTATGTATAGTAGGGAAGAGAAACATATAGACTTACATATATCTAACAGTAAAGTAAATCAGAAAGGAAGAAGCAGTTGGCACCATTATAAAATTACTGCACACCAATGGGGTAATTTAGAACTCTTCACCATACATTTATTAACTGTTCTCTACATATTACATCTCAATTACCTTTTTACTAATATTAGGACTTAGAACTTTGTAATAACGTAGGGAAAAGGGAAGAGATTATCTACAGCACAGCAACCCACAGCAGATTCCACATGTTTAGATGTTTAACGCAGTCACAGAAATTAAGAATTACCACGGTCTGGCTGTTCTTGCTAACTGTGCATTGGCATATTGAACACTCATATTACTAGTGTTAAAAAGCAAATCTTTGTGCATTGGTCGGATGGAATAAGACAAAAACGCAAATAGGCAAGTTACGCACCATGGGATGTATAATGCTAACTATGTTTTTCGTGTCATTTTTAATTAACTGATGATTTCAAGTTTGTTTAAAAAGAAATAAAACACATATATATATATAT